CAAAGGGCCTTCATTGAACTCAGTCACTGAGCTCAAGAACGGTCACGATAGTACAGGGCCGCTGATCGCCGTGTTCCGTACACAAGTAGTCGAGCATCTCAGCCTCGCACCAATGGGGGCTCTTGAGGACCACCTTAGGGCCACTTTCTCGTAGTTCCCAGACAGTGTCATCCTTTCCTCGATCTTCGACTGGCTTGGCAACCGGATAGAAGTACTTCAACGAAATAGTATATTGGCAGATATCAGTGTCACTGGTCCAGTGTGACGAGAAGTGGGAGCAATCCAGTCACTTGATGACCAGAGGTAGACTAGCCTTAGATGGAAAACCAGACATGGACAGGCTGTGACGGCGCCGATAACGAGTTTTCAGTCCTCTTATACCGTGACCCAAGGCTATCCTGTGTAACACAGATCTTCACCCAACTACACAACTCAACATAACACTTCTGTCACGAGCAGCAAATTTCGTTTACCAAAGAGTAGGAATGACTGGCATCCCCTGTATGAGGGCAATAATGACTATTGTGAAAAGTGTTATGATGATCATGATCGTCACAATAAGAAATACTACACAGCAGAGTACTCGAGACCTGCCGATATGATAACGGATATGTCCATGATATTCAAACGGCTTGGAGCAACGAAAAAGTATTTTCTAGTTCTTGATACGATGAGCTCGGTCCTTCTGCATGGCCCTGTCGACCTCCCTCGCCCGACGAATAGTGCTGGCATCGGCTAAGTCGGCCACCTTCTTGGACGGATCCTTCTCTACCGAAATGCGGTCATGCTCCCAGCTCGACGATTCTCCTTGGCAGGACTCTTTGTCCTCGGCCATCTCTGGGTAGGCAACAGCATGTAAACGAGCGTCGTATCTAAGAGAGGCGCATCAAAGCTCACCCAAGCAAACCGAATCTACTGATTTCATACCATAGCAAGCTCAAGTGGATACCAATGGTAACAAGTTGGTGTATAATCTCATACAACAAGGAGTATCATTCGGGAACTCACATATGCTTCCAGTGGCCAACTATACTAATCGTATCTTTCTCTTTCAGCACTGCCTTGGGATCATCTATGAAGTCATCTAACTCCAATGCCAGAGTTCTAATACGATAAGTATTGACGGTTCTCGGGTCTTCGGCAGGAAACTCGCGGTCGAGGCGTTCTGAGAACACTAGATACGCTCAGGAATGCCTAGAGGAGAGAGCCTTACTGGCGACGATTTCATGGTCCGTCCACGAGGCGAACGTCCTACAGAGTGGGCTCAGCCTCTTGTAGATGACTGCAGACTGCTTGACAAGCATGGGAAGTAGCGAGACCGCAGAAGAAAAAGAAGACGTAAGTGAAGAACCGTTTGCGAAGTAGCATTGAGGACTCGCAAGTGAGAGCAATAACGCAAGTTAATCTAGTGCTTGCGCGGTACAATACAAAACAGCACAACAGCACAACAGCGGAGTGCTGTTTTCTATTTTGGCCCGTAAGAACCGCACATGCTCTTATGTGTCTGCTATTTTCTGAACGACAAAACAGCGCCAGCTATTTACAAAATCACACTGTTATTACACATAATAGCACTCTGATTTACATAAGCGCTACGACATTATGTAAAATCGCACTTCTGCTGAAACGCTCGTTTCTGTTAGCCAGAAATGCATTTCAGCATCTTTTTAGAACTTTCTCTTTTTCAATTTTCCCTTCGGCAGAAATACATTATGGCACACGCCCCTCTGCCACTTTCTCTGCTCATTTCTATCTTTTGTCTAGTATTTTTTTTTAAATATCGGTGGGTAAAAGAGATTAACTTACCGAAAAGTACTACATTCTGGGATCGCTCTTCCGCTACGGGCAGTACGATTTCCTCACTGGGTGAGGTTTCATCTGCAATCACCCGGACGATTCTCTCACGATTTCCGTACTTACGCAACTCTTCATTTCTTTCAGTCCTATTATATGCGAAATGTGTTCGTTGTGTGGTTTTCCTGTTATGTGCGTGCCACGCGCATACGCATGGTTGTCATCTGTCTCTCACATCTGCTATGGAATTCCCCTGCTGCGCGTGTTCCGCTATACTTTTGTTGATACTACGTTACATAGATGTTCTACAAGTACTGTGTTCACGCAACAACAACGGCTTGTGAGGTAAAGATGAGAAATCATGATTGCGCTGCAGTATCATGCCCAGAAACTTTCTTTCTACTGTACGTTCAACATACATAAACTTAATGCTTCTCCTTCACTCCGCATAACTCCGACATCTTGTCTAAAAAATCTTCATCAGGTAGTTGTCCAGCCTTCCAAGACTGGTAAAAGATGAAACGCTTCCTCTCATTGCTTGCTGAAACCGGCGCCGTTTCCCCCAGGTCGATCGAATTAAGTTTCGCATTTGAACGGATCAGCACGTTCTTCAATGCCTTGATAAAGAGCACAATTTTGGGATTTCTTTTCGTTACGACTTCATTCAGATATCTGACCGTGAGAGAACCCTGTACAATCAGAGAGTGTCACAGGCTCACTGATTCAGTCGTAATCACTACCTGTGTAACCCTTTCAACGGGTTAGTCGTCCTTTGAGCATAGACGTCATCCGAAGGAATCGAACACCACTCTGCTGGAGGAAACGGCCCGTCCAACTTCATGTGGACTGAGTCGATGTAATCGACTACTCGTGACACGTCATCTCCTTCAGGCCTTGAGTTTTCCAACTTGTTCCACATCCTTGGTGGAATTCCAACTAGAGTTTTTTCCCAAACTCCCTGAGCACTGTAATGTACACCTCAAAGGCTTTAGACTGCTTGCTCCACTATCCCTGCAACTCTGCTTTTAACGGCCTCCAATATGACCAAAGCAGATGACGAGTCAATTTGAAAGTGTGGTTCCAACGTTAACCACATGAGAGGCTCGCGTCTCCAAGAGGCCAGACGCCCTCCAGCTTGCAAGTCACCTGTGCTCAAGCCCAGCTTTCGCTTCAGCAGCGCATTAATATCGTTCCTGACCACCTGAGGATACCTCACAATTACTCAACCGCCCGAACTCATCGCAGCAAATCGCACTTTAGTCCTAGCCTCCCAGACCCGCGAGTTCATGAACCTCATAAAATCATAACCGGCGAAGTCGCCAACTTCCACCACCTCTCCCTCATATATGCCGAAATTCCGCTTAACGTAACTGATGAATTTCAGAATACAAGGAGATGAATTGCTCTAGTCACTACTTCACCATCCCCACCGACGTTTGTTGTTGCCCGGTATTATTCCACAACTGCTCGATGGCACCCCGAGAAGGTTTCGGCTTGGAAGGTGATATGAGATCCTAACAAATTTTTCCTAACAATCCAATTTAAGGTGCAACTTTATCAAACAAATAACAAGTAACAGCCAACGTTACTTAGCAATATATACTTACATTCATGAGGCGCGCTGACTCTGTTCCATTCGATATACACTTGATTTTAAGTTTTCGAAACGCGGGAATCAAGTGCTCAATAACTGTGCTATTTCCTCGGAATCTTTTCCTTTGACGCTCGCAACGATGGCATACATAACGCTGTGATGAAGTGAAATCCACAGCCTCATCGGCACACCCTGCAATATGGATTCTCATACCACACGAGTCACAATAGGCCATCGCCCCAAAGTCGCTCCCGCGATTGCAAATATGACAGCATATTGGTTTAGGCATAGGAACCAAGTAACGTAAACTGATCATGAAAAAATTTCGGAGCGTCCGTTTTCGACAACCTCGACAGACTGTCGAAAACAACTTCAGCTAATAAAAACGACAAGCTGTCTAAACTGCCGCTGTGCAGCGACCTATGCGACTTTCGACAAATACTGTCGAAATTTGAACGGTCAGAAGTTGTCGAATATACTCGTTTTTTCGACAACGTTGTCGAAAGTATGTTACAGCTTACTATGTGTGGATATGGACAACTTAATTACGACAATGATTGTCGACTCTGATAAATGAGCTTAATAACGACAACTAAGTGTCGAAATGACGAATGATCTCAATTTCGACAAGTTGTCGATGATACGCCAGTTTCCGGTGAATCCTGAAAAGCCAGCAGTTGACTAAAAAACGGTTGCTTTCTCGCTTGCCTTTTAGCTTGACAATCGATTTTGCTTTCACGCGAAGATGGCATGCTTCGGACCCTCAGTGTGAATTTCAAGGATTTTTGGGGGGATGGTGGTACCAAAGCTGTGCTGTGACAGCACAGCGATAGTCGATGTCCTGTATTTTGGGGTCGGCGATTCTCACTGAGTAGCGGTTATAGAACGACTCGTACCCGACTTGATCAAAGTTTAGTCATCAAACTGAGGATGAGCAAATTGGTAACTGATGTTTGGTGGTCACGGGTTGCAGTAGCCCGCTGAGCGGGCCCCGCTCCACGACATCCCCCACATCGCTGGGACTAGGAGGCAACAGTCTACGGCAGTACCCTGAGAGCTTGCCTCTTTCTCCCCTTTCCTGTTCGGCTGGTTATAGTCGATAAACCACCAATGGCTCACCAATGGCTCATATAATCTACCGTGTCTAACGTGTATTATTCAGAATCACATAACAGAAATCATCTGAAACGTGTGGTGAAGGAGATTCGATTCGTAACTCTGAAATGTAGAGATTCATTGCATTCATCTCTTTGCAATTAAGAGAAGAATATGGTGATTATGGCGGTTTTCTCTCCATGATATCCTGGGGATATTCAGTTTTTTTGCTAGTTGACATTGCCATGTTAGTGATACGATAAATGTCAAGCGAAACGCGCCTTTCCTTTCCTGTTCCTTTCTTTGGAGGTTTCAATAGAGGGTTTTAATTCATCATGTAGCATATTAATATGATGTTAGTCAATCATTGATCCGTGAGGTATTGTGTTCTATGCCTTGACAACTGGGGTGAGAGAAAGAAACACCGAGTTCTCCACACGGGAGATGAATAGTGGGATACGAACGATAAATGATCGCGTGAATTCGACACACGATTCACTGAGGAAATATTCTCCGGAAACGCATAACATGATAATGCCGTGTCGGTATTACAAAACCCTGAAGCGATTTGACTGTTCAACATTCGTATTGTACACAAAGCTTTCAGCCCGCTGTATCATATCGACATGAATTGTTCCTCAAAATTGGAAGTTTAAATACACCGCTACGACATGTTTCGCAAACACCGACTCGCGCCTCAGAACATAACATCTGTGCGAATCGAACCTTGGTCATCTACTTCCTAGCAGTGACTCCCTCGAGTTAGACTATCGAACCTCCGCAAAATCGATGTCTATGTTCCATTCGCCTTCAGAAACCAAACTATCAACAGAGTTGTCGATTTCGGGGAGTTACATTCTCGTTTACGACAAGTTTAGACAGCACACAACACTATGGCGCGCGCAATCAATTTAGACAACATTTCGATTGTCGAAAGTGATAGCAGTTGTCCATCTCGACACCTACTGAGCACTTGTCGAATTCGACAACGTATGTGTTTTCGCCAATTAATTAGGATAGCTTATTTTCGACAGCACATTGTCGTATTTGACTGTTGTCGAAATGGAGTGCGACCAATAATTTCCCATTGGAAGACAAGCAAACGTCGACGCAACAATGTTACGGCGAGTAATGAAAAACAATTTGAGTGACGACTTCGCTCCGCCGTCAAACGATCAAAGCGCCACGTTACTTATTGCGATTGCTGTTATGTATGAAAAGGGCAACGGATAAAAGAGCACTCGAAATACATAATCGCATACAAATTTTATGCAAAACAGCATCTGCGATTTCATAATAACACATTTTTTGTGAATAAGAGCGTAACCGCTATTTTGACAGTGCGATTTTTTTTGGTGCTGTAATAGGCACCTGCGACTTTCAGTTGTAGAAAACCGCACTTCTGCTGTTCTGTACGTCAAACTACTATTACAGCACATCGCACTTTTTTCTGCTCTTTCTCGTGTGCTGTTTTTCACGGTAGCCTGCTTGCGTATATTAGGTTACCGCAGTCTATGTTCGGTTTCTGAGCTCAGGCGCTTCTCACTTATTGCAGAAATTTACACACTTCTCACTCGGGTAGAAGTTTACATAAACCAGTAAAAATTTCCTCAGAATTTTCATGTTGTCATCAACACATGTAGTTGACCTTGTGCATAATTCCCCTTACACTGTTAGAGAGTGGCGACGTACTCTCTAGAGGACCAAGTCATGACGACTCGTCAGTGCCCTCCATGACTTGGTCTCTTCAACATTTCATCTGCTCTTCCATACTCGTCTTACTGACCTATCTGATAGGCCTAGCCTTGGTACTCTATGTACACGTTCTAAAGGCCTATCTCGATTGGGGCAGGTATGCCACATCGGAAGCGGCGCCTGTGTTGTGGAGTTGTTCACTCTGATTGGCAGCAGTCATGCCGTTCTGGTGTGGCATATCTGCCCCAAGCCAAAATCAAAATTCATCGATGTTGTCTTAGTGACTTTAGCTATGCAGACCGAATAGATCTTCCTATCGCATTATTGATCGTCTCAATGCATATCTTGAAGCTGTGGCATAGGTGCCCCAGCCGGTAGCATTCATTGTATTGAAATCGAGTCGATAGTGATGGTCTGTGCACATTGTCTCCGTTGGGTCGTAGGTCAGCTTTGACTTTTACATGCCTGGTGCTGTACCCACACCTACTGGGCCGATGCTCACCTCTGAGGCTAACCCTGTTGATAGTGTGCCTATTGAAAAGGAAAAGGAGAAGGAGGAGGAGGTCGCCTTTGTTACCAGTGATGTGCCTCTTGTCGCCGAGGTTGACATTAAGGATCCAATTAGGGAGGAAATCGCCGAGAACGTGGTCGTGAAGGCTGCGGCAGAGACTATCGCAGCTAGTGCTGACCGTGAGGTTGTTCAAGAGGAGACGGCCATTCCCAAGGAGCATGCTACTGGGCCTGACAGTACTGCTGTGGAAGCTTCCGAGAGTCAGTGTGACAGCGTTGCCTCGGTGGATGGTTCTTACGAAGATAGTCAACAGTTGGTGGGAGGAGAGAATAAGGTCCCTTCAATGCCTGATGATGATACTAATCATGAGAATGCGGTGGCGAGTGAAGAGAAAGACACCAGTGCTGCCACAAAGTCGAGAGAGATGGAGAAGCCCGCCGAAAATTACGGTGCTGATCAGGAAGATGTGGACTCCCAGTCGGAGAAGAAAGGGAAGTCTGATGGTGGTATGGATGAGGAAGTTGTTGCCGACATGGGGCTTCCGAACGGGACGATCGACGAACTGAAGTCTCCGTCAGAAGGAGAGGAGTCCGAAGGGACAGGAGCCCCTCGAGACTACGACGAGTCTCATGATGCTATTGTTGTGGACGAGCAGGAGTTGGTGGACGAAAAGGAAGAGAATAATGATGGCGAAGAGCAGGCGCAGGAGGAATATGAGGTGTGGACGGGGGAAGAGGCCCCCGCTGATGAAGAGGATGAAGGGGAGGTCAGCTCGCTGTAGACGGGACAGAGCTTGGATTGTTAGTATTCAGTTTATGACTCTGGAGGAAGTTAAAGAGGCTGTGGTGAAGGTTACACAGCAATTAGAAGAGGATGACGAGAACATCGATCTCAAAGTTCTGGAGGAGTTCACAGAGGAGTATGAGAAAATGTCGGAGACGCAGGTAAGTAACTCTGTTGGTCTACTTGGATGACTGTGCAGTCGGTCACTGTTAGATCAACCTCCAGCAAAAGCTCACCAAAGTCCTGGCTGAGACCAATGCTCTTTGGCAAGAATTCGAGAAGTACAGGAGCCAGTAATAGCGACTACAAGGTTTGTGGGATGGTTGGATGTGATGTGGTTTAGGTATGCACAAGTCATGTGGAAGGAGAGGAAAGAGGAACGGGAGAAGGAACAGCAGCAACAGCAGTCCGACGAGCAGTAATAACAGGCAGCACTCGTCACGAGGCGGCATCGGATACTTTAGATGGGACTGGAAGCGCAGCAACGATGGTGGCAATCAGAGCTGGAGCCAGAACGGCAATTGGAAGGCATCGGACGATGGTCACTACCAACAACAACAGCAGCAAGAGTCGTGGAAACACAATGATAAGAGTTGGCCTAAGGACGAAGGTGCTGCCTGCTTTTATGAGGGCTTTTTGAGGTGCTTGCCTTTCAGGTGAAGGTGAGGCACAGCAGGCTGGGGGATGGAAGAAAGGTGGAGATAAGTGGTCTGCCTCTGTGGATAGTAATAAGGATGGCCACGGGTTACAATCGACGCTACTGTGTTTAGATGGTGGGAAGCAATGGAGAGGTGGGTGGAAGAAGGATGACGAGGAGGAGTGGCCTGCTGCTGAGGAGGAGTCTTCTAGGGCCGAAGGCGAGGAGAAGTGGAAGGGCTCGAGGAACGATAAGGCGGGTGCAAGCTGGAGAGATGCTGAGGGCGGCACTGGGGACTCGGCTGAGTGGCAACCGAAGAGCGGTGGGGGGAGGGGGTATGACAAGAAGAAGTGGGGTGATGAGTCCAAGGGAGAGGGAAAGAACTGGAAATGGAGCTCGGATCAGTAGTGGTCGACGATACTAACAAGGGCTTTCATGGGTTGTCTCAGGCAAGAGGATGAGAGAGGTGACTGGAAGCAGCAGGAGAAGTGGGACCAGGAGGAGACCAAGGCAGCTGAGGATTCCCCTCCTACTGAGGAGCTTCCATCGGTCGAGGCGGATGCTGCAGAGGATGGTGCTCCCAAGGGCAGCTATAGTGATCTGCAGGCGGAGGTGCTGAGGCTTAGGAAGATGGTAGCTGAGAATGAGAAGAGCAAGGTAGATAGCATCCATGGGTCGCTACTGTTGAGTGCATTCCCAGGCTGAGAGCGCAGCAGCTCCGCCGCCTCCCTCCCCCGTCCCCTCTCCAGCAGCGCCTCCCGTGGCTGTTCTACCAGTGGCTCCTCCTGTAGTACCGCAGCAGGTGAGTCGTCTTGTTGTTGTCTCGACTATGATGGTGTTAGGATGGTCGGGCTATGGAGGAGTTGGCGCAGAAGGTGGGAAAGGACATCGAGGTGGGGAGGTGATGGGAGGATTCTCCTATTGATTAAGTCTAACGTAGGATCGCCTGCAGTCCAAGCACAGGGAGGAGTTGGTCGAAATGGAGAGGCGTTATCTACACGAAATGCAGACTCAAATGAGATACATGATGCAGCACCAGCAGCAGCAGATGTCCTCCTCGATGATGCCACCCCCAAGGGACTATGCCAAAGGCCCTCGATCGGGCTATCAGCCTCATCTACAGGGGGACTACGATAACTACGATCATAATGGAGTTTCTTATTCGCATCACGACGACCGTTTCCGTCGTGAGAGAGCTCCCTCGCCATACGGCAGTGTCTCTGGTAGTAGTGTGTAGCATTAGCGTAGTAGATGGGCTCTTTGCTTGGGATAGGTATGTCTGGTTACGCTGGGCGGAGTCCAACTGAGTACAGAGACTATCGACAGTCCCCTTCGGCTGCACAGGTCTCCACTGAGGGTGCTGCCCCTCGTCGAGAGACCCGTAGTGGCCACGAGAGAAAGGTGAAGTCCCTCAGCCCACGAGTCGATGATGAGCTGCTGCTTGTTGTTAGTTGTCTCCGAGAGACGCTAAGCCACGCCGTCCCCATCAACCTCCGAATGTCGACTATACTAGCAGTAAGGCCGTCCTGGAGCCTCGAGCTCTGAGACCCACTGATAGCTATGCTACATCTGTAAGTGCAGTAGCTACTGTACAGGCGCCTTCCCATCGCCTCGTTCAGACGGCGGCCCCGACCGCCCCCGTTGGCCTTCCTGCACCTCCACGGCCCTCTATGAGCAGCGCCCTCCTGGCCGAAGAGGCTTTGTCAGTCGACAACGCCATGCAGGCCTTCAGACAGGATGGAGCTCGCGGCTCTTATTAGTGAATTAACTCATCAACGACTTGATAGCTTTTCCGAATGGTTAGTAACTTGACTGCTTTCTCCCTGTATGGATGTCTGAATGTCAGTAGCGAATTTTCATTGAGTTTTCTTGACGTGTACTGCTCAGTGTTAGCCGGGTTGGGTGCGGACATGAAGTGAATCTTTCCAGTTCGAGCCTTGGATACGCCTTCCTTAGCTTGGTAGTGATGAACTCATCGACTGCCGCAGACCTGCGGTATGAAGAAGACCATTTCCCACCCATCGTGGAGTCCAAGAGCCCTTCCTCAGCCAGCTGCTGGCTCCATGGTGTTACACCTACTACCTCTAGTACTGACCACCTCGCCACCCCAAGGAGCAGTTCTCTGTTCACTAAGGAGGACATGGTCGATGATAGTGTTGATGACTCGAGGTTGGAGAGTAGCAGTACTACAGGGCAGAGGAAGAACAGAAGGAAACACAAACGGAAGAAACACGGCAACAAGGACGAGGCGGATGGATATCGATCACCCAGGAAGCCCCACAATAAGAAACGGCGAATTCGGGACATCCTGGGGAAGTCTCGGAGACCCTCGGATCATGACGACTGTGGTGCTTCCACCTCCCTGGCATTCGGGGAGAGTAGCGACTCTGAGGCCGACTGCGAGGAAGTCGCCTTGGAGAGCGCTCGGAAGCTCTGGTTAGAGGTGTGCAACGAGGAGCCTTCCCCGGCCTTGATGCTGCCTGCGATGCAGCTTCTGAGTAATGCCGTTAATGCTGTTGCTGTGCCGCCTTCCACTGCTTCTGGACCTATGAGGTCCGGTGGTGGTGTGGTGAGGCCTCCCATACAAGGTTGGGTTATGTCATTGGAAGCTACCGGGAGAGATCACGTCGATGCATCGACCTCGTCTAGTGGTAGAGGGTCAGCTCGAATGGAAGCCGCCATCACCTTGCCATGTGCGAGCCAGATGAGAGCTCAATATGGTCGGTATATGAGGGAGGAGCCGCCGCCGTTGACACCAGAGTTGCTGTGGCTTACGGCGGACGGAAAGAGCACGTCACCGATGCTGGGTATGGCCGGGAGCAGATCTGTGCGTTGTTCTATGGTGGCCGGAGACCCCAGATCAGAGTCTCTCACGGAAGCTCAAATACTAAGAAGTCGACTGCGAGAAGTGGTGGAGCGCAAAAGGGAGTTGGCGTGTAGAGTCAAGGATAGGGCTGAGTCCTTCACCGTCGCTCGAAGGCTGGTAAACGTCCCAGTGGTGGAAAAATGGAAAGCTTTGGTGCGGACGCGGCCTCCGCCGATGAACGTATATCCTCATAATAGCGACCTCCAGCCGACTTTTGGAGTCACCACCAGCGATGATCCTGATGGAGACACGAGCTATCTGGTGTGCTCGATCTGTCTGGGGCCTGACCTGGCCCGGGGCAATCAGATGGTCGTCTGCTCTGGGTGTGGGGTGGCTGGTCATCAGTACTGTTACGGAATCGATAGAATTCATGAGGAGGACACCTGGCTCTGTCGCCTTTGTTCCGCTCTGGAAAATGGCGACGCCAGCGAGTCTGATGTTTTGAATTGCTTTCTTTGTGGTGGTGATCGGCGATGCCTCGGTGGAGGCCTGATGACGTCGGTAATGGTCCAAGGGGGCATCCGATGGATTCACGTGAGATGCGGTATGTTTGCATGGAAGTGCCAAACTATTTCGGATCTTGAACGAGCCGCTATGCGCTGGTCTTACTCCGGATCGCTTGCCTCTGTTTGTGGCATCTGCGGCAAGGCTGTGGGAGAAACTGTGAAATGCAGCTCGACGGGATGCTCTCAGCATTTCCACGTCAGCTGTGCCACACGCAACGCCCTCACGATTCCGGAGCCAGCGAACCACAACTGGCTTATCTACTGTCGCAAGCACATGGCAGATGTCGATGCCTTTGGTATGATCGAAAAGCTCACTAAAGCTATCGCCAACTCGCCCTATGCAGAACAGACGGAGGGTGGCTTCGCAGCTGCCATCGCCAACAGTGCAGCAGCTCAAATGGTCGACGAGACTTATGACCTCTATCGAGGCGTCGATGCGGAAGATCTCTGGCTCGCCTGGATGGACCCTGGCGAGGCTGTGAATGATGCCAAGACTCCCGAAGCAGTCGCGGACCGGCCGTCCATTCTGACGGCAGCGCCTCCTATTATTGGCCGTGCTGCGAGCTGCCCGAGTGGAGGTACCAACTCATTGACTCAGGCCTGCGTAATGTGCTTGCACAGTGATGGCGATTTGGTGGACATACCGGGAGGTCCTGGTGTCCCTACGGGTTGCTCGGCTAGAGTCCATCTCCGATGCGCCCACTGGATGGGCCTTGCGCCGGTCTTCAACTTCCATGATCTCCGCCAGGGATCCGTCATACGGCCCCGTAATTTCCTCCAGTCTTGTCACTATTGCCACAGCGTTCTCGGTATAACTATGAGATGCTCCAAGTGCAACAGAAGTTTCCATCCCCATTGTGCTGCTAAAAATGGTTGTACTGTGCGACTAGAGGACTACGAGTCGGGCATACAGCTATCTGGCAGATCTGCAGAGTTATGGCTTTCGAGAAGGACTGTGAAGGGAGGATTCGCCGTTTGGGTCGATTGCGATGCACATTAATGAAATATATAATCCACTAATACGATTTCCCCACATGTTTATACAGTTGATGTAAACCTGTACTATTGCGTACCGTACATTCACATAACTTCCACTGAGCTACAGTATGTAGGGTTCCCTAGTGACAACGCGCCAGGCTTGACGCTGGGAAATATCACTTGATAACTCGAAGCAATAGCAATGGAATAATCTACATTGAATTGTGAAAATGCAGGTAATCATCCCCCGGATGCTCTCGGGTCGTCAATTACATTGACGGCTCGCGGGAGGGACACCATCACATCCTCCTCACTGAAGAAGCCGTTGGGGTACCGCCAGGTGATGGGCTCACCAGGAGAGATGTCCCTCACCGCTCGAACTCGCAGACCGCCGTCGTGGGGTCTAAGCTGGGCATTCGGACTAGTCGAGTGGTTCACCAAGTACCAGAGGTCACCCCCGCCGATCGGGTCTGCCATGTCGAAGGTCTCCCTGTTGTAGTACAAGGACATACCGCCACGGCTCTCGTGGATGATCGTGAGGAAGCAGTGCTCTGGATGGCCTCGCTTGCGGAGCTTGTCGATGTCAGCATGGCTGTTGATGCTGTACTTGGTAACTTTCGAGAATATTATACACTCACCGTCCTCAAACGACCTCGAGGCAATGAGCACTCGACCACAGTCTTGGTGGTCCACAACACGAAGGCCCATGGCCTTGAGAAGGCACGAATGCTTGGCATCGAGAGGACTCGCTGGCAACTCAATGATCGCAGTACGGGTTCTACGACTAGGCGAGCGCAACATGGCCAAAGAGGGCCCCTTCTTCTGTGAAGTGATCGCCTTGAGAAGAGCGAAGTCAGACGCCGCCGGAATAGTGTCATCACCAGGCTTCAGGATGGCCGCAGTGGTACGACAAGGACTCAACCACACCGACTTGCATTGGTGGGCGAACACCAGACGCTTCTCCTTGTGTTGAAGTGATAAGCACGTGGCAGAGGTAGGCCACCACGAACCCCAAGGGGCGTGCTTTCCACTGGTTTCCACGCTCCCATCGTCTTGTAGGGCAACGACGAGTGGGGATTGCGATTTGCCGACTTTGTATGGGAGCTCGATAATAGTAAGCGTTGCCGGGCACTTGGGGAAGTTCTTCGAAATGGTCTGATGGGCTTGCAAGCTCAGTGTAGCAGTATCACCATCGGCTGGCTTGACCATTGCGTGGAGTAGTGAAACAATGGATGGACTGCGAGGCACCAGTTCTCCACCGCCATTAACCGACACAACAAGGCGCCTGCGGCTATCGGAATCACCATTGTCGCACAAACGTTATAAACAGTTTCGATGCACTTCTTTGGTGTCACTGCAAGAGCGGCAACACCTACACTATTTCGATCAATCATTGCATTAGGTCGCAGCTGGAGGTGTTTGAGAACACTGCGGCTTGGGGGAATGAGGGGACAGTGCTAATGCGAGATGAAAAAACTCAACATCTAAAGAGATTAAAATGAAAACAAGTGAATCAGAACTCCTCGGGGTCCACATTTTCCAATACATCTTCCAACACGTCGTTGACATCACCACTGGGCCGCGCCAGCATCACAGCCACGGGCCGTCGCAAGAAAGGGAAAATATCGCGAAATCCAGTGAAGGGCTGATCATGCGTATCGTAGATGAACTCCATCGCCTGGCGTAGACTAGACTGCAGACTGCCCTTGTCCACCACAAACAAGTACCTGAGACTAGGTATTGCTAACTCAATGAGGTTATCGTTTTTACATGACGACCGCCCATACGAGACCTGCGAGGTACCGGTACATGGGAACGTCCGGAAGTCGTTTCTGCTGAACTTGGTGATGTACCCAACCTGAAAAATATTCAAATTTGCTATCAAAATATCTCGAAACCAGACTGTGAGAATTATATCATGTTACAATCAAGGTCGCAGATTCGTCACGAACCACATATGTTAGAATCAAGATCGACACTAGCAGAATTAATCACGATCAGTTCATCACAAGTTTTAGATCAGGCCTGCACTCTTGACAATAGCCGTGGAATTATTCCGACCACGGAATGAACCCTTTTCGCCGTTACTACCAACAGTGATCCTCGACAACAGATACAAAGTCACTTGATAGCTGATCGCCGATCTGTGTTGGCCCCAGGTGAAGTAAGCCGCAACAAAACCAGCAACAGCAGGGTTGAGTTTCACACTCCCCATGCTGCGGTCCATGAGGCTCCTCAACAGCTTATATACGAAGGCGTATGTGCCCAGCGTAATGCCGTGCTCTCTCGTGCTTTGCAATATCCACTCCAAATTTTCCCCTAGTGTTCTGTGGCCCCCATACAAAGTCGTCATCACCACACAGTGAGCCAAGCGTAACTTAGCCGCGTACTCGAACCCATTACGGGCGCTCAAACAGGCTTCGATGAGGCACTCCTTGAGAGTAGGTGATGACGGGGGAGAACCCCGCAAGTAGGAGGTCAGATCTGGCATGGTCAGACCTGTGGCACTTCTGATTGAAATACTGTAAAACACAATACGATGGTTTACTAAACTTGGATTGGCAATAGAATGGACTACGCGAGAGTACTAGTTTACTGTAATACTACAACCAGTGACAGTCGTATGAAATTCGCGAATTCCTACGATGGCAATTCCTCTATCTGCTGGTCGTTTCCCCATTGAACTCGCCAGGAACAGTTGTGGATTCCGTGCTTGCTTCCTCACCAGGAGGCCGGGACAATGGCATCACTTCGCTGCTGTTGACGACACATAAATTTTCCGGACCCATTCTGAACATGCCAAGCACGAGGCCATTCAACACCACCGTTCCTTGAGAGTGTCCACCATCGACCGCTAAATGCCATCTCACAGTACGGTTATCCCAGGCACATAAAACGTCGCCACTGCTGCCCAGGACAGCACCCATGCACCAGATCGGCGTTTCCGCTTGAAGGCATATGCGACGCTTACGCTTGCACGTTCGCGTCGCCCGCTCCCTACGACCACCGGTCAACCGCAGTGGCTCGGTGCCTTGCTCCTGGTCCTCGCGAAACACCACACAAGCGGCAGTCTCGACTCCCAGCACATAGCCATCGAACCAGTCAACACCCAGAAGCCGCTCGCCGTGCCCTCGGGACCAGCTTAGGGAGTGACTTACACTAAGAGGAGCTCCCACGCCATCCCAGTGAAGTAGAAACAGACGATATTCGGAGCCTCGGGCCACGCCCGCCACCAACCCACGAGTATCGTCGCGCCACCTCAAACAGGTGACCGGCGTGGTGGCCACCCCTGGAAGCTTGAGCTTAGCAAGTACTTCTATCGCATCGGCCTCCCTGTTCGGCGAGGCTATACACACCATAGCCTTCCTGTTACCAATGGCCACCCAGTTGAGACCGATTCCACGGCCAACATCAGAGCAAGCATACGGTGCCATGATCGCTTCATGGCTGGTCTCACGTACGGCCAGCCGGTCTGGGAACCTGATAACACCATGACGTAGGCAGGAGCCGTGCACTGCTACCCGATCCATCGCCCAAACGAGGTGCCAACCCATACACCCTCCAACGTGTCCGTCCGTCGGGACACCATCGGTACTGCGAAGTGGATTTGCTCGCAAGGCGGGAACGATGGTGGGGGCTACCAAAACGACCACAAAGGCGATCAAACATTGCCTCCAAAAAGCATTCCAAAAACGTTCACCCCCCGGAGATGCTCTTTATGAAAAATAGCTCCACGTAAACCTCTGTAGGATACATGGACTTCAAGTATGGTTTGACCGACGTACGTATAAGGAAGTAATTCAAGAAACGGCAACCCCCCCCCCTCGGGAAGCTCTACGTACAACTATTTTATTATACAAAGCTCAGCAGAATTCATCAGTCGGGCCTCAGCGTTCCCCCCATGACAACTTACAAAGACAGCCTTGACGAAAAGTACGTCCTCAAGCGTCGTCCGGTTCGTCGCCTTCCATATCCGCACTACCCCATCGGAAGCTCCCGTGACTACGTATCCCCCATAGGAGGCAACGCTCACTACCCCCAGCGCTGGAGCCGACTTGTCCGACCCAGACTCGGCGAATTCGGCAAACACATGTTTATGGCACAGCACGGTCTTGGGCTCCGGAATTCGGGTATCCCAAATCGCCGCTATACCATCACTGGTTCCCACTATCAGCTGGTTGTCATTCAGTACTTGCCAGCATAGCACGATGCCACCGTGTAGATCCATAGATGTGCCGAAGGTGCGGTATGGTCGACAGGCAGCGGCGAGCCCTGTAGAGCACGGCTGGAAACCTGTATATATACCAGATTGGCACACGAAGCCCCCATGGCCTTCACTAGCGATTAGCGACGGTTTGGGAGGATCCGCTGGAGGCAGCCGCTTCCGGTGTGGAGGTGAATAGCCGAGCTGTGCAGCAGCAGCAGCATCCGCCGAGGCCTCTTGGTGGTGCATAGGAAGGAGGACAGACGGCTGTTAGACAGTAGTAGAGGAAAAACACCAAGACTGAGCACGATCACTCGGGCACCCCGACTTCTCATACCGTAACAGCCCGAACAATTGATAAAACACTACAAGCATCTGTGTATTACGAGAACCGCCAACGTGACCATGCATGCTATCAACAGTCAGCGTCCTGGACCAGTCCTAGTCGGGCCATCTGACAACAGAATGAGTACTACAGCCTTTCCCACTACCCCCAACCTGAGCCCGGCGCTTCGCCTGACGTGTTGAGCTCTTCCTCTGCTCCTCCATATAAGCTGTCATACATGCATCGCTACAGAACGGTTTTTGATCTCGGAACACGACGGGGAATGCGTCCTGGCAAGCGCCGAAATTCCAATATATTTTCTCTCAGCTTCTACCCGGTGAATCTTCATGCAGTAATAGCAGCACCAATAGCCTTCCTCACGATGGGCCTCCGTGGCCACTTCCACTTGGCGGGCGGGCAGCCTGTAGTCGGAGCCGCCGCACTCTCGTGAGGACCAAAAACCCGCGCTCTCCCTCCACTGGTGCACCTTCCAAGATTTCGAGACAAGTTGCATGACAATCATTACCGCCTCTGCGAATCGCTCAGCTTCCAGCCGCTCGTCCGGACCTTTCTCCACGGAGCAGTTCACCGGCTGCGCCCCCTGTCCCGCCAGACCCCTAACTTCAACTTCAACCTTATCTACTGCAAGGGCTCACTCAGTCGCACTGCTGCTTGTACATACGCGGGTCGAGGACGTTTCCTGCCTGCCAGACCTAGGACTTCCTCACTATACGTATGTACTAGCCAAGGCGATGAACAAGTCCTACGATTTAGTCTTCTGCATAGAAGCTCCAGTAGACATCCCTGCACTGAGCCGTTCAGAAGGAGCAGATGAAGACTGGTTCGAGTCAATCGCCGGAAGTCGTCGCGGCCGGTGCTTGCGCTTAAGTACGTGATCAGCGAACCCCCTAGTGAGCTGAGAGGGTACACGTGACCGAACTGATGATCCCTTTCCTACTGGCTCGACGGTGGAGGCCGACTTCCAACTGTGATGGGGAGCCGTGGAGACAGCCTGATAAGGGAATAAAGCGACTGGATGTCTCATCTGCATTAGCCCCGTGATGTACGTACCTCTCGTGCTAGTTTGACCTTCCGCAGCTCCTCGAGAATCGCTTCATTTTGCTGTATTAGCTTCTTCGTGGCGGCAGCCGATACTTCTATCTCCCTCAGCCGTGGAACCATACAGGGAATATTCCTACTGCAGGGCACCCTCAACGAGCCCGCCTGTGTCACCAAACATTCACACCCGCTTGCACGCATACACACGTCACGCGTGCAAAAGTGTGGTAGTAGCAGCAGAGATCACTTCTGGTCTCTCGCCTCTGCCAGCCTATCGTCCGAGACACCCGCATAGTGATATAGTCCGGCACCAGTGCGGTAATGAAACTGCTCACACTAAACGTTTCTCAAGCTCAACGGAACTGAGGCAACCCAGGAATCCTGGAGAGCTATGAATAACGAGTGCACGATAGTGCTTCCCCGCGTGATGGTGCCCATCACAGACGACATGAACCTACCTGCAATCCTGAGACTTTAACATATAATGTGGCCTTCTGATCATATACGTCCATACACCCACTGCCAGAGACATGAACGCATGTGAGACACACTAAGAAGCCACCGAGCCGTTGCGTGTCAACTTGACACTGTCGAAGTCGCAACGCATAGTAGCGCATGCTACGGGATGTCAACGGATACCTTGATTCAACATATCCGTTGGAATACCTGTTAGTCCATGCGAACCGTGTTGGCCCCCCGGAGAGAGCCAACATTGTCGTAGCATCTCTGACAGCTAACACGCCAGATTTAGTGCGACAACGCAGAATCCGCACCCTATGCAACTTTCCCGACGCACGACCTCCGAATTTACGACAAAACCCGCCACGAACTTGCAGGACTTAGTGGTGCTAAGTGCTGATACAGTACCACCCTGAGTGGTTGCTGAACTACAGCGATGTGAAAAGGGATACTCAACGCCCCCTCGGAAAACTCACAACGACATTGCCATACTGTATAACGCGGCACATAACGACAATATAATCCTCGGCGGCCGACGGCAAAGTCTATAATAATGATAACGATGAGATCACACTACAAAACCAAACACAGCTACTCAAGGGTGATAACGAGGGTAGTCGACATACACCCGGGATCCAACTAGGAAAGTATATTATATTCCCCTTGACTACGTCGTTAATCATATCTGCACGGAGACGAGTCTATTACGAATACACTAGTAGCTGAAAAGGTAAGTTGCCCTCAAGACTGGAACCCTGTCATAAGATTAGCAACAAACAATATGGTAGCACAGTCACTATCAATCATCATCATAATTGCAAATGGTCGTTGCCATGTCACTTTCTCGCTCTACATCTACCGAGAGTGTCGCGACATCGAACGCGACAGTCCCCTCAAAAGTACACTGCAGTCCTGCAAAAAATATAGGTATAATGGGATAGGTGCTGGTGGTGGCTTATCAACGCCACACCGAGAGACTATCTACAAACCACCAAAGTGCAACCTCGAAGCTGACCAATACTAGCTAGCTGAGAGATAGCACTAGGACAACGTAGTTATGCTGTCGAGCTGCTCCGC